GATAATGAAACTTTTTACTGTTGATAATAACTATTTCGCACATGTATGTATGTATGTATTAATAATAAAAATATACGATATCACCAGCTTGTTTCAATAAAATCAAGTGAAAAAGTATTGAGAGTAAAATAATAAACTTAATGAAACCATAAAATATTTATATAAAAATTGTAAAAAAAAGTTAACTTAATACTACACGTAGGGTTTATTTACGAGTGAATCAAGATTCAAGGCCTTTGTTTCATTTAAGTCTTGTATTGTTTCACTGTTACAATGATTGCACATCGCCGCACTGCTTTTGAATTCTCCAACGATTTGCTGAAGTGGTTACCCTCGCCGCATTAAACAAAAAAATAACGACAACCGAACTAAACCAAAAAGATATGTTGAATAAATTTAATATGTTTTATAATTTAATATGGGACGAACCAATCTGTGTTAATTTCAACTAAAAAGTTGCATAAATTATTCAATTCGCACATTTGATTTAAAATGAAATTTTTTGAAGCGAATGATTTTATGCAAGAATAAAATTCGGACAGATTCAAAAGTAATCTATTCATTACTTTTAACCGACATATATATATATATATATCTATATATATCATTATGTTATCGTTGGTTGGTTAGTTAGTTGCAGTGGCAGGTCCATTAGATAACTTTCATGTACCTCAATTAGCGATTTTTCGCCGTTTTGCTACCATATTCCTCGCAAGAACCCTAGTATAGATGATTAGAGACTAAATCCATTCCGCCGAATTTAAATAATTTAATAGGTCTTTCGCCGATGAACAATCTGATAAACTATCAACGAAGTATCTTTCTTAGAATCTACATCTTCTTGACGTCAAAACTGGGCATTCACAGAGAAAGTGTATTATGGTTTCTTTTTCCTGCGGGTTTCCACAACTTCTTTAGTGAGGATTATGAGGAATGCGCAGTTTATCTGCATGGGTTCCTATACACCAATGACCAAAAAGAACTGCAGTAAACCTTGCAGTGTTCTTTTGATGAATTCCGAGGATCTATTTTTAATAGTATTATAAATATAATAAAAGTTTATACAATAAAAGGTTATCATTTCGTGGTACTGATTTGGCAGCACTGTTTAACTGTTAAATATAACTACCAGAGTTCGTATTTGCGTACCCATGAGCCGGCAAAAAACTCTTTTCATACGATGGCTCACGCTCACGAGCGAGCCCAATTCATTTTAGAACTGTGTAGACTGATTCTTACTTGCTTAGACCCAGTGAAATATCTGACACGACCCTAATTTCCAAATAAATTTTTGTATTTAAAATAATCATCTAAATTTTAGCAAAGTTTTCTTGAATAACCCATTCCATAAATCGAAAAATTAATTAAATCGAATGAATACAATGAAATGTACTTTTAGTAGTTCAGTTATTATTTTCTTAAAAAACTTGAATTTATATGGATATGTTTTTTTTTCTTGGTTAATCTTAATCTTAATGTTTTATTCCTTTGTTAATAAAGATATGATTGTATATTACACTATATTTAGTACGTTATGGAATACCTAGATCAGTTTTCACAGCATTTGTGAAAGGCATTTAAGGTGGTATATATTTTTACATACCTTTTTCTTGTAGTATGCAAAATACCTTTGATATTTGTTATATAGTATAGTCAATAACAGTATATCGTCGTTGCTTACATTGGACATTTCACAGATATTAGGTATTTGTTATATTAGCCGACTACTGCCGGACTATATAAAAATGGAATTTAGATAAATTGGACATAGGTACGTTAAAATGCGATACTTGTTAAAAAAATAGAATTTAAATAAATTGGACATACGTTAAATGGGATATTTTTTATATTAGACGACTACTGTATATTTATAAATGAAATTTAGATAAATTGGACGTACGTCAAAGCCGTTATTCGTTATGTTGAACGAGTATCGTATATTAAAAAAATGAAATTTAAACAAATTCGACATAGATCTAATCAGGTTTCGTTAAATTAGGTATCCATATTGGGAGTTCGTTATTTTGGATGACTACTGTAGATTGAAAATGAAATTGATATAAATTGAACGTTCGTTAAATTGTGTATTCATTATATTGGGCTAACCTAGACATAGGGGTAAGAGACGATAGCAGTTGTTGCGATGAAGAGAAAACTGCAGTACATATTCTGTGTCACTGTGATAGTCTCGCCAGACTCAGACTTCGATATTTATCAACTGCCTATCCACTTATAACGGAATTAGGCAACATCTCTCAAAAGGACATAATGGCGTTCTTAA